ATTTCACACTTGGTTTCATAGGTCTTGACCTTTCAAAACAGTTTGATCAAGTCAGCACCTCCACTGGACTCCATAGTTGTTGGTAGAAAGTGTTGAAGGTCTTTGGCACTCTGTAAGTTGTGGGTTTTCTGGCTTTTCATGCTAACTACCATGTTAGTGGAAAAGCTACAGGGAAACTTTCTTTTCTCGAGCCTGAGTAGCTCAGACGGTAGAGCATCAGACTTTTAATCTGAGGGTCCAGGGTTCAAGTCCCTGTTCAGGCTCTGTCTCTTTTGCTGCTTCAGTCCTTACACTGTAAATTGTTGAGTTCAAGTCAAACCCAAACTGTCTCAGGCATAGTTCTAAAATGTGCTCACTTGCAGCCTTAGTTGGACTCAAACTACTCACGTGGGACCTTGGTTTGAACCAATTTCAGACTTGGTTTCATGGATCTTAACCTTTCAAAACAGGTGGGTTAAGTCAGCACCTCATAGTATTTGGGAGAAAGTGTTGACGGCCCTCAACAGAACTGATAAATAGTGGATTTGCTAAATATGCAAAATAGTCAAAAGCCTCGGGCGTATCCTCCTCGTAAAGCCTGGTGGATCAGTTGGCAGAGAATCAGACCTCTAATCTAAGTTCACATCACATGAGGGGATAAAAGCATTACTAGCAAGAAGGTTTTTAATGACGCTTTATGGTCAAGTCAACACCTCAACTGGACTTTATAGTAGTTGATAGAAAGTGCTGAAGGTCTTCGGCACTCTTAGTAAGTTGTGGATTTTCTGGCTTTCATGCCAACTACCATGTTAGTGGAAAAACTACAGGAAAATCGTTGTTTTAGAGCCTGAGTAGCTCAGACGGTAGAGTATCAGACTTTTAGTATGAGGGTCAAGGATTCAAGTCCCTGTTCAGGTGCTCAAGTTTGCCTGTCTCTACAGTACAAATGCATGGGTAAAGTAAAACACCAAGTAACTGAGCCTCCATGCTGATGTCCTCTCGGTTGTGGGCCTTCATCTTTGCAGAGGTCAATAGTATGTACTATGTACTGTTAAAAGCACCACATCAGATGGATTTTCATGGATCTTATTCTGTCAAGAGCAGTCTGTTGAAGTTGGCGCCTCCAGTGGCCACCTGTAGTCAGTGAAAGGTCCCTGGAACACATGACGAATTTGGGTTTTGACTGCTTGTATTTTATTAACTTCTCACATCGGTTTTACCTTTAGCAAGCCATCGCTGCTGTCTGTTAGCTTTGGCTGATGTTTCTGCTGTGTCATTCCTAGTTACGACTCCAACATGGACGACAGCAGAGACAACAAGAAGAACCGATTCTCCAACACGATGGCCTTCATGGAGGAGTATCTCAACAACGTCCTGCACGACGAGGTTCCGTTCCACAACGAGGAGAAAAACAAGCTAACGTACGAGGTCGGCTGATATCTCCTCCCTCGTTTCACAGCTTCCTCCATCCTCCGGTGGTCCTCTGTCCCATGACTTCTCCTGTTTCCTCCAGGTGGTGAGCTTGGCCAGACATTTGATCTACTTCGGTTTCTACAGCTTCTTCGAGCTGCTCAGACTCACCAGAACCCTGCTGGGCATCATCGACTGCAGGCCGAACCCAGGACACGCCGGCGTCTTGTTCCACGATGACGCTTCAGGTAGCTGATCCAAACACGTGATGTAGCTCCATCAGTAGACGCCTGCAGGACGCTGCTGCATCACTTCAGGGTTTCAGGCAGTTTTATGGTCACAGCTAATGTTGGCAGGGATTTATTTCTCTGTAGCTGTTGTAGGTCTGTGGAGACGTTCTGGTTTTATTTTGTCCCTTTTTTAGTTGTTTGTCTTTTCATTCCTTGTTCTCTCTACACTCTATTTTCAATAGTTTTGTCTCGGTTTGTAGTTATTTCTTCTCTCTCTCTGGTCATTTTGTCTTCTTAAGGTTCTACTGTGAATCTTTTATGGTATTTTTTTAAATGTTGTTGTTGTTTTCTCTGTTTTGTGGCCCTCGTTGGTCTCTGTGCTATCACCTGAGTTTCTGTCTGGTAGTTTTTCTTCTCTCTGCATTCATGTCGTCTTTGTTTTTCTCAGTCATTTTGCGTCTTTTTGCAGATCTGGTGTTTTCAGATGGTTGCTTGTCTCCATCTTTAGTCCTTTTTCTCTCTTTCTGGTTGTTTTGTGTTTCTTTGCATTTATTTTTAACGTCTTTCTCGTCATCTGGTGTCTCTTTCCGGTAGCTTTGTTCCTTCTCTGTTTGTGTTCATTGTGTCTCTTGGTTTTGGGTCATCTTGTGGGTCTCTTGTATCTGTTGGTGTCGTTTTGCGTCTCCTGATCCTTCTGCGTTTTCAGTGATCCTTCCTGTCGGGTTATTAATGGTCTGCTCTGTCTGAAGGGAAGAATGTGAAGCGCTCCATACATGGGATGGGTCAGATGATGTCCACCATGGTCCTCAACAGGAAACAGTCCATATTTGGAGGTGCAGGGGCCAGAGGGGCGGGGCTGGGGGCGGGGCTTGTGCTTGATGGACAAAGAGGCAGTAAAGACAGCATTGACAAGATGGACCTGACGGTGATGGACACCAAGCTGAAGATACTGGAGATACTGCAGGTAACCGACACAAACAGGGTAGTCAGACGGGTTATAGACCAACGAGCGCTTTGTCTGGCTCAGTCTGACGTCACATAACAGACCTGCTATCTTAGATTAAACGACTCTAAATAATGGTGCAGGTAGTTTAAAAATAAAGCATTTATATTAAAATCCATCGACGTGTGTTTAGATAAAGATAGCATGAGCCGGTTGAATGGTTTCCCTTTATCACAGTTTAAATACGTCGTCTTCTAACCTGAACTCTGCTCGTCTTCAGTTCATCTTGAACGTCCGTCTGGACTACCGCCTCTCCTTCCTGCTGTCCGTCTTTAAGAAGGAGTTTGTGGACGTTTATCCGATGGCTGATGCCGACGCCACCACCAATATGGAGCAAGCAGGTACAAAAAACAAAGGTTTTAAGCTGAGATTGAGGCAGCTTTTACTGATCGGCGTTGGCACAAACCTAAACCTGGTCCTTCATCAACTTACGCTGTCACGCAGGTGTCATAAATCTGAATAATTTATCAGTGACTGATCAGGTCATAAAACAGATTCAGCGCTCTGGACGTTGTCTGGCGGTAACGCTGCTGATTTAAACCTCAGACACGTGGTGGAGATGTAGGATCACTGCATAATACGCATCACAAAAGACTTCATCATGGTCCCTTTAATAAAATGCCCCAACAAATCTAAAACACGAACAGCTTTGTGATCAGTTCTCATGTCAGTGCTCAGCATCTGCTGATACAGGAAAAGAAAAAAGGTGCATCCCAACATACTTCGCCAAGAAAGTGAAGCCAAAGCAGTGAAATTATCTGTTTTATTGTTATAACATGGAGCTCAGGGTTGTTTTAACCGTTTAACTCCCTGGTGTAGAAACCATCAGCGCCCTGTCACATCTGAACTTATCCAGGTTGTCTTCTCCTGACCAGATCCTTGCTGGTGTTGGATCTGCTCTCAGATGGACATCACTCTGGATAAAAACATCTGCTGATGAAACTGTAGACTTGTATAAACCAGACAGGTGTTTAACAGGTTCGTCCAGTGAAGAAGTCGACGGCTATAACTCTGATTTACAGTTTTGATCAGGTGGAAGTAAACGCATCATGTTCGGCTGAAGGTTCTCTGATCTTTCTGATGTGAGGATGTTTCTGCTGCTGGAAGTTAAAAACACAGCTCAGGGCTTGATTTCCCTCCAGACTTTCAGCGTTTTAATAAACTTATTTGAACGTTTTCCTGATTCTAATGACAACCTGTGGTTTTAATCATGTACACGACCTGCGCTGTTTGATGAAGGTGTGTTTTGTTGCTTCTCCCAACGCCTCCAGAAGTCCCGGTCACCTTGATGACGACAGGTAGACGTTTTAGAGCGATAAGATCAGAAACCTGTTCATGTCTGTGTAGGTTCTAAGTCATCCAGGGCTTGGTAACGCTAGGAGCTTCAGTAGAGTTCTGAAGGACTGAAGACGCCTTTGGATGAAGCTGGAACGTCTTCAGGAACCTCAAAATGCAGATGCTTTCTACTGAAGCTCCTAGTTACACCTGTTCATACCTCATGTTACCTGAAAGTAGAACAAATGAGCAATCTGTGTGTCCATGAATCGTCTCATCACCTTCTGTGAATTTGCCTTTTTGTCCCACCTCAGCCACCATCAACCTGCAGCACATTGGAGAGCAGGCGGAGGCCATGTTTGGAGTCGGGTACGTGATGGAGGACACACACGCTGATTCATGTTTTTTTGGGTTTGTTAAAAATGAAGATGCACAAGGTTTGTTGTGTGGTTGTGTGCAGTAAAGGAAACAGCATCCTGGAGGTGGACGATGAAGGCGGTCGCATGTTCCTGCGGGTTCTGATCCACCTCACCATGCACGACTACGCTCCTCTGGTGTCTGGAGCTCTGCAGCTGCTCTTCAGGCACTTCAGCCAGAGACAGGAAGTCCTGCACACCTTCAAACAGGTGCACACAGCATCCGAAAATTTCAGCTAAAACAGAATCCAACATGGCTGGACACTAAAGCAGTAAATGTGTGTTTGCCTCTCAGAATGCTTGGCCAGGACAGCTTCAGGGTTTGGGGCTAAAGTCGCTGTTCAGGGGAATCGTTTCCTGTAGATCCAGTGGGTTTGGTAACTTTGGTCATAACCTCACATTGCTGAAGTTTGATCGGATTTACACTGTGTTTGCTTGTGTTTACTGGTTTCCAAGCCTCTCGGAGCCTGAGTAGCTCAGTTTGTAGTGCATCAGACTTTTAATTTTAGGGTCCAGGGTTCAAGTCCCTATTCAGGCGGTTTCTTTACTGTATGAGCCACCTTGCAGCTGCCCCAACCTCTAGTCTGTGAAGCAGCATTTGAGTTCAAGAACAAAAAAGGAGAGATAGTGAGTGACTTGGTTCAGCAGGCAAAGTGCAGTATCATCAGCGTACAGAGTTTGTAGACGGTGATGCTGTTTCTGACTGAGGTAACTTCAGGTTCAGCTTTGGGTGGTTAGGACGGTGGTTCCCTTCCTACCGGGTACATCACCGTGGTAACCCATGCTGAACACCTGACCTACCTCATGGTGGGTTGTGTTCATATTAAACCTGCTACTGACCTATCGCTTCTGCATCACCATAGCTCAGTGCGCACATCTTGAGAGGGGAAGGTCAGAATGTTAGAGCTGCTAGAGATTTCAGGACACGTCACTGTTCTGTCTGCCAGGTTGACTTACCGAGCTGATGACCAGCTTTGTTAGGTTCAGGAAACCCAGATAATGAAAAGATACCCTGGACATGTTGAACCGGGTTCGTAGTGCAGACCTCTGGTAGTGTCCTTTCTTCAAGCTTGTGATTAGCAAACATGGCTTCAGGGTTTCGTTCATACCACCACCTGTTGGTGTGGCTCTTGTCTAGTCCATCAGGTTACTCAGGATGGAGACGAGTCCGGACATTTTGATTCCCACTTTAGTAATTAATTGTTTTATCACAATTCTCAGGCTCTATTCTTGACTGGATGGGTTAGATAACCAGCAGTCCTCTAAAAAAAGGGATGGCTGTGGTGACTTGAAGTGTTGAAGCCTGTCAGAGCCTGAGTAGCTCAGATGGTAGAGCATCAGACTTTTAATCTGAGGGTCCAGAGTTCAAGTCCCTGCTCAGGTGAGGCACTGTCTCTCTATGAGGTGCTCATAATCTCTTGGGGAAACACAAATGGTATTGGAATGAAAGTAGCCAGAGGGATGTGTGGACTTGGACAGAGAAGGAGCTCCGGTACACTTAATAAATCAAGTGTAGTTCTACTTGATTCTAGGCCGATGTCAGAGAGTTCTGACAGAATATTATTGACAATCCACCAACCTGCTCATTCGTGGTGAATCATTTTGAGTCAAAGTTGAACCGTCACATTAACCCTCAATTTTTTTTCCTTGTTTCTGCAGGTCCAGCTGCTGATCTCGGCTCAGGATGTGGAGAACTACAAGCTGATCAAGGCGGATCTGGACCGACTCAGGACGCTGGTGGAGAAGTCTGAACTCTGGGTGGAGAAGAAGAGTTCTGGTGGAGGCGACGGGAAGAAGGACAAGAAAGACAAGAAAGAGAAAGGAGAGGTGAGGAGCAGCGAGGTGGTGGTGATGATCAAGCTCAACAATTGTTAAGTGGATACGAGTTAAATGTTCCGAGTCTTTTCCCAGGGACTCGTTACCTGTCGACCACCAGACTTTTAATTAATCTGTTCACGTGAATACTTTGACATTCTGTTTTTTAGTTTATCAGAATCAGATCAGACACAGCATGTTGTATAGACGTAAACTTAAAGGAGAAGAAAGATGTGGAGGTAAAGTACAGTATCATCAGCAAACAGCTTTAGTTTAAAGAGTTCATACAAGGAGCTGAGGTTAATGTTGCTTCACAAATACTGTCTTTTCAGGAATGTTTAGCAGCTGATCTTCATGTCCAGATGTAACATTGGCATCTGCTGTAAACAGCTTTATAACTGCTAGCTGTGTTTAACGACAAACTAATTCAAATTTACACCAACATAAAATCCATTTTCTTAAAAAACACTAACTTCTATTAACCATCACAGTGCTACTAATGAAACCAAACAGAGATATACTTTTTAAACTCTTGCGTCCTGGTTCTGCAGTTGCCTGGTTTGGGGTTTTGTAGGTCTCGGTGGGCTACATGGGTTCATAGTTCTTGTTTCTATTGTGACATCAAGGCTTCAACACTTTCACTATTTTATCACTTTTATGTACAATTGCTCAGCAGACCAATGAAAGCAACGACCTAGTAAACAACAAACGGACTGTGTTCTGTCCCGGCTGTGTGTCTCAGCTGCCTAGAGTGAACACTGTGGTATCTGCTGTCATTCTCCTGGACAGCACTGAGCTATTTCCATGGACTGACTCAGACAGCTTGTTCACTTCCTGCCACTTGTGGGGACAATGTGTGCTGCTGTTTTTCATAGATATACAGTAGATTGCCAGCTTTGTGCTTTTTTAAATTCTGCCTACAAACCTCCCAGAAGTGGATTGTTTTCATGACTAATTGGAAATCTGGGCTGTGATTTAAACAACTTAGTTCAGGTCAGTTTTATTCAGCAATTACAACACCTCCGGGTCCTTCACACAGTGAGGTGAACCGCTGGATCTGTTGGCTTTCTCTCTATAACGTAACAGAAAAGGTGTTTGTCCTCCAGGAAGTGTGTTAACCCTTTTTAGAAAAAGTCACATCTTCCCGACTGAGACCATAAACTCATGAGGAAACTGTTTACTGAGGTAACAAATCAAGTGAGAAGTAGGGATATTCTCTCATAGATTTGACTTATTTAGCAACCAAGGGAGTCGCCCCCTGCTGGCTGCTGGACACAATACAGGTTTAATTCATATCAGAGGCTACGTCCATCTTTTCTGTACAGATAATGTGGGACCTGAGGCCTGTTGTGTGTTCTTTAGTGTTTGTGGACGTCAGTGTGTCCAGAGTTTACGGTTGTGTTGGTTTGTTCACATCTGCTGTCCGTCTTCAGCGTATTCATCCATCTATCCATCTTCTCCTGCTTATCCGGAGTCGGGTCGCGGAGGCAGCAGCCTTAGCAAAGCCGCCCAGACTTCCCGATCCGCACACACCTCCTCCAGCTCTTCCGGGGGGACCCCTAGGCGTTCCCAGGCCAGCTGGGAGACATAGTCCCTCCAGCGTGTCCTGGGTCTTCCCCGAGGCCTCCTTCCGGTGGGACGCGCCCGGAGCACCTCCCCAGGGAGGCGTCCAGGAGGCATCCGGAAAAGATGCCCGAGCCACCTCAGCTGGCTCCTGTCGACATGGAGGAGCAGCGGCTCTACTCCGAGCTCCTCCCGGTGACCGAGCTCCTCATCCTATCTCTAAGGGAGCGCCCGGCCACCCTGCAGAGGAAACTCATTTCGGCCACTTGTATCCGCCATCTCGTTCTTTCGGTCATTATTCAGCGTATTCAGTGTCTATAAATTCGATTTAAATGTTGACCAGGGTCACCAACACCTGTACTGTAGTGAATAATAGATTATAGTGTGTGTAACGTGGCACCAGAGAGAACTGCTGTCTTACTGTCTGCTTCCTGCAGGGGGCGTCGGAGGAAGCAACGCCTAAGAAGGAGAAACTGGACAAGGGCAACGAGAACTACCAGAAGGTCAAAGAGGTGAGAAACACTCGTGTTTTATGTCCTTGTTTTTCCTCCACTGTTGATGTTTCTGCACAACAGCTAACTCGGTTAACTCTTTGAGCTGAAGTTGTTTTGTTGAACAGACTCATAACTGCTGGTAAAAGAAACTAAAAATAAACAATAATGGGCCCGACAGTGAGCCCTGAGGGACACCACAAGTAAATAACACGCTGATACTTCTTCTCCAGTTAGCTTCCTACATTTATATCTCCAGTCTTTCACACGGTCAGCATGAAGCTGTGAGTGGATGTTCACGTTTTCTTCGTCCTGAGGAAACAGCGACGTTAAAAATGAACCTGAGCGTTTTCATGTTAAGCCTCATTTATATTCACTTCAAGTTATTATTCGTAAACTGTATTTTTATGAGGCAGTCGGTTATTTTCTGGGAGAGCAGAAGATTAAAAGCAGCTTTTCTCGAGTGTGTGAAGGACTGCTGTGTTCTCTGTAGATCCTGGAGAGGCTGAACAAGATGTGCAGCAGTGGAGTTTGGAAGAAGCAGCAGAGGCTGCTGAAGAACATGGGCGCTCATAAAGTAATGCTGGACCTGCTGCAGGTGTCCTACGACCAGGTGAGAACTGGATCCCTAAACATCAGAGAATCATGTAAAGAACAGAGTCTGATGGGAACATGTTGGAGGTAGAGGAGAACCAATCAGATGGATGTGTTTCTCTGTGTGCAGAACGACGTGAAGATGCAGGAGATCATCAGGTACACCCACCTGTTCCTGCAGAAGTTCTGCATGGGAAACCAGGAGAACCAGACGCTGCTGCACAAGAACCTCACCCTGTTCCTGAACCCCGGGGTAGGCTGCTCTGGTGGCCGCTGGCTCCAGTCAGAGGCCTCCAGCCCAACATCTCACAGTCTGTTACTGACATGAACCATTTCTGTGCTTCAAGAGTTTGTTGTAGTGGCTCGATTTTTATTCTGACTTCAAGAAAACTACCAAGCTGGTTGTGTTCCTTCACTGCCAGATACAACTGTAACTCACTACAACTCCAAACTGAGGTGACTTTAAGTCTGAAGCACCTTTAACTTGAACTTCTGACAGTTTGTTACTGACGTGAAGCTGACGAGCTGAAATCTGAGACTTTCACTAGTTTTAAGGTTTAATTGTTGTTTGTCAAGAAAACTTTTCAGCTCATGTTTGTGCACCGTTCTGGCAGGTTTGTTTTACTTTTAAAGGTTTTTGGCCTGGAGATGTCCAGGGATCTTCTAAAGAGCCTGAAACAGTTCATCTGATGGTCACATCGTGAAAATGAACCAATAAGAGTCTTTGGACCAAATAAAGAACCACCAAGACGTCACAATGACCTTTAAACAAATGCTTTTACTAGTTTCTGACACAATAAAACAGTTTGGATGCAGCCCTTACCTCTGAGTAGATGATGGCCACTGACCAGATGTTGGACTCACATGTTGACTGTTGCAGCTCCTGGAGGCGGAGACGGTTCAGCACATCTTCAGCAACAACTACCAGCTGTGCAGCGAGATCTCAGAGAGCGTCCTGCAGCACTTCATCCACTGCCTGGCCACGCACGGCCGCCACGTCCAGTACCTCAACTTCCTCCACACCATCATCAAGGCCGAGGGGAAGTACGTGAAGAAGTGTCAGGACATGATCATGACCGAGGTGAGGCCACGCCGCTGACAGCACAGCTCCTCGGTGCGTTTGTGCAGCGGACGAGTTCACTTTGTGATTTCTGCTCGCAGCTGACGAACGCAGGCGAGGACGTGGTGGTCTTCTACAACGACAAGGCCTCCTTCAACGTGATGCTGGAGCTGATGGCGGAGAGCAGGGAGGGCGTCGGCGAGAACAGCCCGCTCAGGTAACCCCGACACGCCGACATCAGGACGTAGCGTCTGGGTGGAGTCCACCAGGAACACAACAGGACATCTCATTCTGTCCACGCTAACGTGGTTAGAGAGCAGATGTGTGTTTGACCAGAGTCTCCGAGTACGGAGTAGCATCACAGAATACAGGAAAAGACTTCAAGTACTTCAAGTCTCCTCAGAAAATGTTCCATTTAAGATGCAAAGTTTCAGCTCAGGCATAGAGAAGTTGGCTGTGTGATCCAGAGAGCGACTCAGTGTTCAGTAGAGTGAAGTAGCCGTTGCTGCTTAACTCCCACAATGCTCTCTGCTGCCACCATGAGCTGTAGAAGTCTCTTAACCCTTCTCCACCCAGAAGAACCAGGTGCTGGTTCCAGGGTTTAGTTGGTTCCCGTCTAAGAACCTGGTTGCTTCTCCATCAGCCAGGAGCCCAGTCAGAACCGTACGTCACTGCATACGGAGCCGTTTACTGAACAACGCTGGCGCCACACAGAAGTCCACACAGGAGTCCAGACGGACTTTGGTACCGGTGTGACCCACTTTCTCATCTGGTCTCACCTCCCACCTGGTCACAGGAGAAACATCTGACCTGCTGAACATGTTCTTATCCATAGACGCTACAGTTTACGATGTTCCCTGAACGCCCCACATAGCAGGCTGCGCTAGCTGCTGCTGGTGGCCGCGGTGCTCAGACCGGTGTGAGACCAGAGATGACTTTAACAGAGTGAACCAGGAGGTTCTGGTGTCACATCTGTCCAGCATGAAGCCCAGTGATTGTTCTCATGCGGTTCTGTCAGATTAGTCGTAGCAACTGGACCTGCTTGAGTTCCTTGAAGACGTTCCACCTTCATCCAGGAGGCTTCATCAGTTCTGACTGACTAGTTGGAGTTCCACAGACTGATATCCTGAAGGAGACGTCAACACCTGAGTTTCGGGTTCAATTGGGGGTTTGTTGCTCCTCCCCCTCGTTATGCGTGTCGTTAGTGCTCCCCCTGCAGTGGGGTTCGTTAGGGTCTTTTGTAAAGGGCTCCACCTGGTGGAACAACCAGGTACTACAGTTAATCTACATGGCAACGGATGAATTGGGGCAAAGAAACTTGATTAAAACATCCCTTTTTAAATACAAATATTTGATTATGAAGCATCTCTAACTTGAGATTCTGACATTTTGTAACTTATGTGAAGATAAACAAGCTGAAATCTGAGACTTTATACGAGTTTTAGGGTTTGAGGACACTTGAGCTTTCGTTTCCAGGAGGTTTTTGATGCTCAGCTGCTGTGTTTCAGGTACCACATCTCTCTGGTGGAGCTGCTGGCTGCCTGTGCAGAAGGAAAGAATGTCTACACTGAGATCAAGTGCACATCGCTGCTGCCTCTGGAGGACGTGGTCCGAGTGGTGACGCATGAGGACTGCATCACCGAGGTACTCTGCTGGTTTGTACGATCAGCTGTCAGGAGCTTCAGCTGCTAAAGCTAACGTGTCTGTGGGCATCTGCAGGTGAAAATCGCCTACGTGAACTTTGTGAATCACTGCTACGTGGACACGGAGGTGGAGATGAAGGAGATCTACACGTCCAACCACATCTGGAAGCTGTTTGAGGACTTCACGGTGGACATGGCCCGGGTAGCTACAGCACCAGAACATTTAGCTGGACTGAGCTAGCATCACAGTCTGACCTGTGGCCGTAATATGAAGAACGTTACAGCAGAGAAAGTTCTGAGACAATAAGAGCTGTCTTCGTTTATACTGTAGAAACAGAGCTAGCTGGTTCTGCTAAAGGCTACTGGCTAAAGCTAGCTGTCTGACCTACCACATATTATCTTGTGTTCCAATCTTGGTTCATTGAATAAACCCTCGTCTTGGTACTAATAGACAATAGGAACCTTAAACGCTCCACATCCTTCAGTATTTACATGTTTGTTGATTATCTGTTGGGTCTGTTGCTGGTATTTAGCATCCTCTGCTAGCTTCAGTGGTTTCTGAGGACCGACTCGCCTGACCTGTTTCTGTAACAATGACTTTCACTCTGCAGGTTTGTAATAAACGAGAGAAGCGTCTGTCCGACCCGATCCTGGAGAAGTACATCATCAACGTGGTGTTCGACACCATCAACGCCTTCTTCAGCTCGCCATTCTCTGAAAACAGCACGTCTCTGCAGGTTGGCGTTTAGCGTTTAGGGTCACTGTGGTTCCTGTTGTTCTGGGTTTGGTCTAACCATCTGTCTCCATCAGACTCATCACACCATCGTGACTCAGCTGCTGCAGTCCTCCGTCCGCCTGCTCGACTGTCCGTGGCTGCAGCAGCAGCACCGAGGCCAGGTGGAGGCCTGCATCAAGACGCTGGCCATGACAGGTGACGGGTCGGTCTGGTGCTGCCGGGTCACCGTTTACTACCATCTACTGCTATAGCTGACCACTTAGCACTTGAACTATCATTTGGGATTCAAGGCCTTCATTTGTCACAAACACAGTTATACGCGGTGTAACGCTCAGTGAAATGCAGGATGCACATCTTCCAGACCGAAACAAGAAAAATAATAATAACTATTAAAGCCCTCTGAGAGCTCAGACCTCCTCCCAGCAGCTCATCTCCACCATGTTGTGATGTCCAGCAGATGTTAAAGTCCTGATTCATTTATCTACACTGTCATGGAGAAGCAGAACATAGCTTTAGCATTGAGTTAGCATTGATATAATTAATAACAAGCTGACGGAGTGATGGACGCTTGTTCTGGACTCTACAATATTTGGTACACTGATGGTATTTCTGCAGTTACTTACTGGCTTCAAACTGTTAGCTCACGCTATGCTAGGTTAGCATAACCGCAGCGATGTTATTGCTAACATAAACAAACAGGGAGTAGCTTAAGCTAGGTTAGCACAGCTTTCGCAACGGAAATGAAAAGCATGTGTTTTAGCTAACTATTGAATGCCTTTAGGTCACCGTTAACACTTTTAACTCAATATTTAATCCTTTTAATGAGCTGTTTCTCACTTTGAGCTAACTATTTAATACCTTTATCGAACCATTTCTTCCTTTTTTCCAATTATTCAAAATGTGAGATTAAAGCCATGATATTTTGTCAAAACCATTACTTCAACGTCTCTTAAATATTTGCCAAAAACAACCCAGTCTCCTCCCTGAACCGTTAGCGACTTCGCTGTGATCAGCTGAACTGCAGGCAGCGTTTATAAAGAATGAACTAGCTTAAAGTGGAACCAGTCCAACATGAGGAGACGACGTGAGCTCCAGTGTTGGAACGTCTGTTTAGTATTTCTGTGAAATAAATCAAAGAAGCGTTTGTTCTTTCTGGTTGGTCTCGTTCTGGGTTCTTGGTTCTGTTCCACAGCGGTGCAGGACTTTATCTTTGCTGGGTGTAGGCGGTTGATTTGCTGGTTTAAAGTTCCCTTCTGTCTGGTTTTAGCGAAGAGCCGCTCCATCGCTCTTCCTCTGGACCTGGAGGCTCAGATCAGCTCCATGTTGTCCAGCTCGGCTCTCAACTCTCTGTCGCGATCGAACCCCAACTACAAGTCATTGTCCCGTTCCTCGAGGCCCTCGGCTCCCAGCAACCCCTGGGACTACAAGAACATCATCGAGAAGCTGCAGGTACGAAGCAGCAAACCCGACAGGACACGATGTGTTGGTCGGGATGAGCTGGTCTGTCGTCCAGGCGTTCCTCTGCTTTATATCACTGTTAATGGAAGACCTGTTGGGTTTTGGACAGTTTGAAAGATGGACAACACCAAAGTCAGCTACAGATACTGATCGATGGAAAACAGGAAGCAATAAATAGAAGCCTTCTCTTTCAAAAGTGTTTCAGACTGCAGCAGAGTCTGGTGTCTTCCAGTTTATGATCTGGTTTTAGTCCAGTGGAGGTGATCTGCTGGCTTTAAGTCACATGAATCAAGTACAGACATCATATATAAATGAATAGAAACAGACATGACTTTACATGAATGAGCTTTTATTTCGTTGTGTCTGTATTTAGACTCTGAAGGTTTTGGTTGAATGATGTGGTGTCCTGTTTATTTCTGTATTCGTGGTTTCTGTTCCCTCGCCGTGGCGCTCAGGACATCATCAACACTCTGGAGGAGCGCCTGAAGCCGCTGGTGGACGCCGAGCTGTCGGTCCTGGTGGACGTCCTGCACCAGCCCGAGCTGCTGTTCCTGGAGGGGACGGACGCTCGGCAGCGCTGCGAGTCTGGAGGCTTCATCTCCAAGTAGGTGTGAGTCCAGCGCCGCCGGCAGACGGCCGGCCGGACCGAGGCTTGATGGGACATGTGTTGTATGCAGGTTGATCCAGCACACCAAGGCCCTGATGTCCGCCGAGGAGAAGCTGTGCATCAAAGTGCTGCGGACGCTGCAGGAGATGCTGATCAGGACGCTGGACTTCGACGAGAAAGTCAGTTACTGATGAACGAGGTGGACGTCGTGGTTCTGTGTCTCTGGTTGTTTCCTTCAGCTCTCGCATGTTTTCGTTCCTGCTGATGTTTTCAGTCTATTTTCTTCTCACACGTGTCGTCTTCTCGTCTCTTTGCTGTCGTCGTCCTTCAGTCCTGTTTTGAGTTTCGGTTGTTTCGCGTCTCTTTATGGTCGTTTTTTATTTCTGTGATTGTTTTGTTTCTTTATAAAGTTTTCACATTCGTCGAGTTGTTTGTCTTCTGTAGACTCAGAGCTTCCTCAGCTTCCAGGTGTTTGATTCATTAATGACCTTAAATCAGTTCTCGACAACTAAAGTCATTTCCCAGCTGTCCACGTCTCAGTGTTCCTCCAGTCAAAGATAATGAACTCGTCCATGACACTGAGGTAAACTACGGAGGTCTGACTGACTTCCTGTTGGTCTGTTTCAGGGAATCTCACTGCGGAAGGTTTTGCTGCAGAACTACCTGTTTCCAAACAGGAAGAACAACCCGAAGAACGACTTGGCTGAACTCGGAGCTTCAGGTGAACGGAAGCGTCTGTCTCGTTTAGGAACTGTTTCTACGTCTCTGTGCAACACGAAGCTCAGCGGCGCTCAGAGGAAACTGTTTAGACGACGACAAAGAGATTAAAAGAGATGCGACATAAACGTACAGAAAAGCTGATAATAATATAAATATGTGTAGCAATACAGGTATTCATAAAAAAACGTTGAACTGAAAGAATAAATGTAGAAATGGATAAATAAAGAAAATAACTAAACATAAAAATGTATAAATACTGAACCAATTAAAGCCGCAAGCGGCGATGGACGGGTCCTCGCCCTACGCTTGTCGGCCTTCGTGCACGGCGGGGTGTGGGGCAAACCTGCTCCAGGCGGGACTGTGATC